GTCCGACGTCCGTCATCGTTCGTGTCAATGTTTTACTTTTTCGACTTCTTCTTGAAAACTACAAGCCTGAATGCTTTGATACTTGGTGTGTATGTACCTGTGGTAGATCTCTCTTAGATTTGTTCATTTCATGATGATATCTTCAATTCTCTAATTTTGGTGAATATTTTTGTAATTTTTGGTAAAAAGTGATATTTTTGACTTCTTGTTAAAAACAGCAAGTTCGATTGCTATACATACTATACATATTGTTCATTTTCTAATGATATCTTCAGTTCTTTAATTGAAATGTGCCTTGCTAACAGCGGAGCTTGTTTTTCTTATATTTTACGAGCATTTTATTTTTATCTCTTTTGTATTGTATGTTTTTTGTATTTCTTTGTATTTACCCGGTATGTTCCTTACCATACAAAAACCCTTTTAGTAGAGTAATACAGTTATTATTATTATTAGACACAAATGCCAACCACAAACAGAACAAAATTCAAAAGAAATTCAATACACTATCATCCATGAAACATGTGTTTTAACAATGATATCAAGCAAGAAACATGGTTTGTATTTTCAGGAAAAAAAATCTGCATATGTAATAATCACTTTTTAGTCTTTGTTCGGACAGTGTCTGAAAACGAGGACTATTAATTTGGAGTCTGTCCGGAGGCATATCTTAGACATTAATTGACCGATCTCATTCAAACTTTCCACAAAAACAATACATCATATTTTACAGACGCGTTTTCTTTTTTTTTTTGAATATTGGAACAAAAATGACCAGGAGGATTTTGATCAAAGTTGGTATGATAATCTTACACATTGTTACGTGTCAGCAGCTGTTTCTCCGACATGACCAGGATGATTTAATCAAAGTTGGTATGATGATCATACATATTGGGTTACAGATGCATGTCATTGTTTTTCAAAATTCAAACCAAATCAAAGAAAGCTTAGAAAGAACTCCATGTGCTGAGAGTATTGTGACACATTAAAAATAATTCGGAATTACTTAGCTGAAAACTAATTATGCAAATCAGAAAATTAATATGAACAGATTTTAGTGTAAAACTAATGAGGTCTGGGCAATGTAACAGAAAATCTATGTACCAAGTTTAATTAAAATGTGATTAGAACCAAAGAATTATGAATTATTACGCTATTTAGGGAATTAATATGAACAGATTTTTACCCCAAACTAATTAGGTTTGTACATTGTCCTAGAGGATCTTTGTACTAAGTTTCATTGAAATGGAATAATTAGTACTTTAGATATCAGTGTGAAAGCTTAAAATTGGTTAATTATGCAAATTAGGTAATTAATATGTACAGATTTTAACCCACAATTATCGAGGTCTGTCTATTGTCCTACAGCATCCATGTACAAATATTCATTGATATGTGATGATTAGTACTTTAGATATCAGTAGAAAAGCTGAAAATTAATTATGCAAATTAGGTAATTAATATGCGCAATTATTTAGCCCAAAACTAATCAGGTCTCTGCATAGTCCTAAAGGATCTAGGTACCAAGTTTCATTGAAATGCGATGATTAGTACTTGAGATACCCGTGGAAAAGCTGAAAATTAACTAATTATGCAAATTAGGTGATTAATATGCACAAATATTTATTTGAAACAATCAATCTCTGCATAGTCTTTGAGTATGTAAGTACCAAGTTTCATTGAAATGTAATGCTCACTACTTATATGAAAAGCTGAAAATTAATTAATTATGCAAATTAGGTAATTATATGTACTGATATTACCATAAAAACTATCAGGTCTGTGCAGTGTCATATGACATCAAGTTTTAAGTACCATGTGATATCAGTGGAAAAAACGAAAATTGACTAATCATTATGCAAATTAGGTAATTAGTATCCACGCATTATTACCAAAAACTAATCAAAACCTAGCATTAGTTCAGAGCATCTATGTACCAAGTTTCATCAAAATCCAATGAGTGGTTGTTTAGATATCAGTGGAACAGTCATGGAACCACTAAAAAATAGCTATCATGCAAATTAGGTAATTAATATGCACGGATTTTTACCAAAAACTAATCAAATCTGCGCATATGTTCAGAGCATGTTTCAAGTTGCATCAAAAACCAATGTATGGTTCTTGAGATAGCAGTGGAACAGTCGGACACACATACATACACACACACACACACACACACACATACACATACATACAGACACACTAACTGCAAAGACTCCCATTATGTGCTTCGCACATGGGAGTCAAAAATACCATTCCAACTCAACAGCCAACCAGTGATGGCCTTACAGTTCGATGAAAATGTGTTCTATGTTCTTCGTATAATAAGGTGATCGTACGCAAAAGCCTTTTCCACATAAAAGTGGTGAATTTGGTCGAATTTTGTTAGCGGTTGGCTTTATATTACCACCAACGGATCGTTTGGCTGCAAAAGATTGGAATCTGAAAAACGCGTTTCACAACTTCTCTCTTCATTTAGTTTCGTGCTGTATGCAGGATGGCAACCCCCATATAGTAAATATCGCATTCATTTTATTATCGTGTGCGCCAGATGATGTGTTTTTAGCTAACATAAGGCATTTAGTCATTTTCTGGGTAGTATTTTGTTTTTATCCCGTGATGTGTTCCTTTTTGTAAAAAATGCACATTTTAGATGATAGTTGTATAGTGATTTTGTAATTAAATAGCACCCTGTTTGGTCTTGCTAAATGAAATTGACCACCTCTGGGAAATGGTCCCAGAGGTGGTCAACTTAATGAGCACATGGTCTTAGTGTTAAATTTGAATGCGATCGGGCAAAGCATGTCTGAGAAATAGCTCTAAATGGACAGAACCAAAACTAATAGTCTCTGATCACAGATTTCATTTGTTCAAAACAGTGGCTTATCAAAATTTGCATAGAGACTGAAGACCAAGCGTGGAGTTAGAGAAATAAACACACAGGGCCAGAACAAGGAATGACATGACCAAGATCTGTATAAATAGACATACACCTGTAATTTACCAGCACTAAGTAGAGCCATTATTCGAAAACTGGCCTCTCTCACTGTAAACGTTGACATATCTTTGAACACACTGAACGGAACACATTTGAGGTAAAAATTCCATTGTAGTAATTACAATCATCAGCCTCTACAAACTGTCCATACATAAATAGTTTTCAGATGACATCGTGAGTATATTCTACTAGACAAATATACACTTGACAATACATAATTATAATCTACATGGATGTTCAGAAGTCTGTAACTATAGATTGTCTCACTTGGTTACACTGTGTGGTTGACAAGAATTGGTGTTTTGATCACAATTGTAAACAACATGTGTCAGCATTTGTTGTTGCTGTTGTTTTTGAATATATACGGGGAACGTTGTTACAAATAATAGTTAGCTATTGCAATCATTGAGCGACATTTCCTATCAGACATTTGCATGCTGGTCGTCATGAATGTGCATGAACAATTAAAACCTACAGGTGTTCTTGTAACCCATACCAAGATTTAAGACTAGATACAAATTTGAGAATTATTTGTACGTGGGTTATATATGAAATCAATATAGGTGATAATTATATTGTTGTGCTTTTCGAAGAATCTACTCTAAAGTAGTAGGTACATGCTTGATCGCATTGTTTTTAATAATACCAAAACCACCAGCCAACATTCTGGAAGAATTAATTTAAAATAACAAACCTATTACATTTACTAAAAAGTCAAATTCAAAAATATATATTGTAGTAACCATGTCAGCTGCCTAAGGCGAGTGGTCATATGAGTTGCCTTTTATTTGTCCAAATCAAGACCCAGAAAGGTTAATGATTGTTCTACCAAACCATTTTGAAGAGATTATAATAGCACATAATCATTCCAATTTAATTTTATACTGTGTCTAGGAGAGCCATTTTTAAATCACATGCCATTTCTAAATCCCAATCCTCTAAATACCGTGTAGTCAAAATGATATTACAAGGAAGCAGGGAGTATGGGGCGGTATGTGTCCGAATTGTTTGACAGTTTTGTGTACCATCCCTTGCAAAGTTCCAAAATTGGGAGAGCAGCAGTTACAAATGACTGGTACTATTGAATCACAGCTGCAAAACATTCGTAAATAACGGTTCTGGTTAGAAACAGATCATTTAGGAATATATACAATTGTGTTTTCTATCTGTATCTCTTTCAAAATTGCCATGTTTGACCATTCTAATTGTCTAGAAAATAATAAACTTCACCCTGGAATACACGCGACTGTTGTCACGGAGTAACAGGAGCCAGGATCACTTAGGTACAATTTAACCATTATATCATTGTAAACTGTGCATTACCTTTACTGACTATTATAGTGTCTGAATATTTTACAACAATTAATTCCGACGGTTACCGCGAAACAACCAGCATGACACCAGCTGAACTTCAAAATGGCGCTTTATAATGAGGGAGTACAAGAAACATTATAGGGCGCCATCAAGCTATGTTTAAAATTAAATTGCTAATATCAACCAAACATGTGATTGGAGCCGTGGCGTAATATTCGCCAATTGTAGAATCTAATAAGTCCCGGCTACAAATAATATAAATTGTAATCCGTATTCATGGATAGGTAACTGAGTGTACCGAGCGTAGTTAGGAATCTAAACCAGGAGCTTAAAAATGTCAGGCATCTGTCGAAGTTATAGCGTGGCACATCACCTGGCATGAGTACAATGATTCTAAAACTCAGAAAAATATTCTATGATTCTGCAATAAAATAAGACAAATGTAGCAATTATCTTCCACAGAAATCGATTATAACTTGTCTGGGTAAGCAGTTCCTTCCAAAATGATCCAATTGGTATCACACTAAAGAGAGGCGATGTTACATAAATGAAAAGCACATTATAAAATAAATGTACAAATCATATTTATTTCCAACTCTGTTCAGAATGAAATTTTGTAGTTGTATTATAATTTTGTTGACAGAATTATCTTCTCGACTTCAACGAGTAATAAATTCGGCCACTCTGTAAACTTGTCTCGTGCTGAAAGGATTGTGCCTGATTAGCTACTCTCAATGAAGATGGTTTGTTGACAGGGTTTTCTGCCTTGTATATAGGCTTCAATTAAACTGTCAACGTAAAACCGCTGTCACCAATCCATTCCTTATATCTTTCATCAAATAAATCATTCTGCGCTACTGTGAACTGACTCTTCCATGAACCGACTTTACCTGTAATACAATCACATGGAATTGCGTGTAATTGGAGTCAATGCCAAGTTCTATCACCCATTTTGACTTTCATAAGTGTGCCCAGCAAACTTGTATGTACATTTTGTTAACACGTGACACACAGTTTTCTGATCGAGGAAGAAGAGTTTAAAAGTTATTAACATATACTCTAACAATCAGACAGTGACCAGACTCCTAAGTTCTAAATTGTGACTGGTCAAGGTTTACATAAAACAGGAGCACCATGAATGATAACGAGTCATGTTTTTTTTTTCTCAGAACGACGGAACAATTACACTAATAATTACACTTCCGAAGTTACATGCAGTTACCTTTTCTCACAAACGGCGACTGTGATAGGTCCACCTTGAAGGCGTCCAGGAGATGCTTCCTCGGTGCATCTTTTTTCATATTTTGAAATGTACACTTGTCAGCAATTACTTCAATTTTGTCCTCCTCCAGACTTATGTCAAGAAATCTCGCTACCTGGCTCACTATTCCCGCGAGATCCTGACAAAAGAATAACGAATACAATGGGGCGTGTCACTAGTTTTATCGGTCGATTTTCAACTGTGTTAAAATGTGATACAAAGAGAGACTTCCAAAGAAACAATGTCTTGCCCAGGCATTTACTTGAGTTGTCGAGAACGATAAATATCAACAAAAGGCAAACTGCTTATGTATAATCTCAATTTTGGCAAAACCCTCCCTTGCTCTGATGTTCTCACAATAATCTCTAGGCTTTCATTAGTGCCCAGACCAGCATAACCCACTAATGGTCTGGCATTTAATGTGTCCAATCCAATTTTGCTTCAGTCACGGCCCACACTGTTTCCAGTGTCATGGTTGATGGGTCGATTTATAGCTGTGCTGTATTATATATGGTTAAATTTGAATAATGACAGTTGAATTACATGGAACTTGACGATTTATGCTGCTAACGTTCTCACTTCGTCAGTAGTCAGTCAGACATTGATGTCACTTTTGGAATGGTTGCTGCTAGTAAATGAATAGTATTACAAGCTCTTGATTTTGTTTTGTTGTTTCTTCTCAAAATTTTATAGTTTACAAAGCATTGTTTTAAACTAATGTTATGATATTGTATGGGGGATGGTATAGAAATTATTTTTAGCTCCGCTGTCGACTTTGTCGAGCGGAGCTTATCATATGAGTGATTGTCCGTCGGCATCCTTCGTCGTCCACGTCAATGTTTAACTTTTTCGACTTCTTCTTGAAAACTACAAGCCTGAATGCTTTGATACTTAGTGTGTATGTACCTGGGGTAGACCTCTCTTAGATTTGTTCATTTCATGATGATATCTTCAATTCTCTAATTTTGGTGAATATTTTTGTAATTTTTGGTAAAAAGTGATATTTTTGACTTCTTGTTAAAAACCGAAAAAAGTCCAATTGCTTTGATATTGCACATATAAATGCTACATGTGGACCTTTCTCAAATTTGCTCATTTCGGGATGATATCTTCAATTCACTAATTTTGGTGAATATTTTTGTAATTTTTGGTAAAAAGTAATATTTTTGACTTAAAAACAGCAAGTCAGATAATAATATCTTCAGTTTTTTAATTGAAATGTGCCTTGCTAACAGCGGAGCTATCTCAGCCGAGATGCTGCTTGTTAAAATGGTGTGGTTGAGTTGTTGTTTCTTCTTTTTTTCTCTGATGTGTGTTGGATGGAAGACATAAAATATATTCAGTGTTTATATTACAAGAGATTTCAAGTAGGCAATAAAGTGTTTGATATAGAAGATTGTTAAACGTTTCAAATATTTTTTTTAACTAATAAGTAAACACAATCTATCCATATAAGTACAGATGCCCTTTGGAAAGATGCAATTCCACCTTCCAAGATAACAATAATGTGTGTTCATATGTTTGCAACATATTCACCCTTGCAGTAATTTGATAAAAATTATATTTCTGCAAAAATGGGTGAAAATGAAGCAGATGGCAATGCATGAAAATTTGAGTAGATCTGATCAGTAATTTATTCAAACGAGCTCATGATTTAATGGGAGCTAAGCCTTCTAAATAACAAGAAATTAGATCGAACTCCGTAAATTATGTAGTTGTAGTTGCAATTTCTTCAGATTGTTTTGTCAATACATCATGAGATTTGTATGGATTACTGAACCTGTTCAAGGATCAGCAATATAATATTATTTACACGTTTTCAGGATATAGTTTTGTATGTTACAGAAATACATTATATTTGTTAAAATATAAACAGCGTCTTTTGTATTATTTTTTGGAACTATGTTAGCAGCGAAAATTTGAACTTGACTTCATTTTATTTAAAAAACATGTGCAAACAAATATTATCCGCATTTCCTCTTCAATTTATGGGCAAATATATCATGTTCTTTGAATGTGTTGAGATCACACATTTAATTTCTTTTGACACTTCTGACTTCTGAAAGTACAACTTTATACCTATTGTTTTAATTAAAATTGTTAATTTTACCTTTTTCATTTGCTCGTACGTAACAAACATGACATTGTCTTCAAAGCGCCTATTCCACCAGTATAGAGTATGATCCGCCCAACTGCCATAAACAACTACATGAAGAGTAAACTTGAAGTGAATCTCTGTACAACTTCTAGTATAACAGGCTTCACAGACTATCATCTGAAACATACTTGCAATACTTCACATGTCATTGTAAAACAAAGTAAAAGGTTAGTTCTATAATAGTTTTTAAAATCAAATACTGAGTTTATAGAAGAATCAATCACTCCGGTATTAAAACATTGGGAAGGTTGGCCCACGTGAATGGCATTTCAACAGATTCATGATTGACCCTAGAATGAACACAACGATAAAGACTTTCAGTTTACGACATTCTGAAATTTTCGTTTTTTGGAACGGATCTTGGCAAGCAAATTACGAGGTATGTTCAAAATAAAATCTATTGCACATGCACACCAATGATATTTACTGGTCACATGTGAATATGGAAGAAACAAGCACAATTTGCTATATTCTCTATAATTTTGTAATTCATTTGTTTTAAATAATAAGTGGCTGAATGAAGCTGAAGTAAACTCGCGTATGAATTAAATACCACATTTATTCCATAATAACAAATGAAAATGACGTAAACTGATGGTTTTCATTGTAATGTTACGGGCAAGACTCTCTTGTAACGGGACATTTGTTCACGTGACGACGAGCCATAATAGTAATAGAATTACGGTACTAGATCACAACATCATGTCACATTGCTTATATAACCAGTATTTACCATCATTGTTGATGAACGCATCGTAAAACTCTTCCCAGGATTGG